ATATTTTAATATTATCTGTATCAAATTTTCAATGTCAACAAATGCTCCATCGAGACTTGCTTGTACACCATTTGAGAGCATATGCCACTGAGAGTATGTAGTGGAAGGAAGTCTCAACACAATAGTTAAAGATATAAGGCCGTTTCAACTTGTGCCAAATAGTATCTTGAAGAATATGAGGTCATTTCAACTCGTGCCAAAGAATATCTTGAAGGATATGAGGTCGTTTCAACTCGTGTCAAGGAGCCTTGAGGGATATGAGGTTGTTTCTACTCGTACCAATGAGCCTTGAAGCATATGAGACCGTTTTAACTCGTGACAAGGAGTATTGTTTAACTTCATCCATTTCAAATTTCATATAGGGTTTGCCCCCATATCGGTTGAAATGTATGTTCTTATGAAGAGATGAGAGGCAAAGCTGTCCCATCGGGCATGCCAATTTGTTCTACTGAAGTGCCTCCGGGATTCAAACGGCGTGGCTTTCGCGATTCAAGTGATGAGTCTTCCAGCAAAAAATGTATCTTCAAGTTGTACCTTCAACTCTTCAAGTGAGCCTCAATTCTTCAATTGTCTTTAATGCCTTCAAGTGCCTTCAAGATCTTCAAGTTGTTATTTAAAGATATCGTTGTTCGAAATACATGGGAGAGAATTTACGAAGATATCGTTGTTTGAAACTCCATCCCCCAAGTTGGATACATAAAAATTTGTCCAACGTTCTGGCATAGTTTCTATTCGATTTTGAAATGCCTGCACACGGAAGACGCGATGATAAGCATACACATACAGGTGGGAAACTCAGAAATTGGAAAGAAAACCGAGAGAGAATACATACCAACAGCGACCGGGACCTGGATGCTCTCTTGTGCTGGGACCAGGAATGATTACGGCAATCCGCCATCCTTTAAAAAACCTTCATAATTAGAAGGTAAGTTGTTTTTGAATCACTGTAAATAGAACATATAATTTTATTTTTTTTACAATTCTTGTTCTGTTATCTTTGTTCCATGGTAGTATAGAGTTTAGTAATATTTTCGCGAATAGTATTAGGAGAACAAAGTGTAAAAATTAAGAATCATAATGCAATCTATTATATATATATATATATATATATATATATATATATATATATATATATATATATATATATATATATATATATATATATATATATATATATATATAAAAGTAAAATCCTCCTTCCTAAAATTTCTCCCCAAAACTTAGGTGCATTTGTGTAATATCCAAATTTAATTAATTAAAGAAATTATATATAAGATTAATTATACAAGATTAAGGAATATTTCGTGTGCATATACAAGATTAAGTAAATTCCGTGTGAATAATATATATATTTCATAAATATATAGTGTGTGACTAATTAGTTATGGAAAGAAAGAATTTTATGGTAATTAATTGATTACTTTATAAAATTTATTTCGTGTGAAGTTTTTCATAACTAAAATTTCATTAATTACAAATTATATATTCATATCCCTGTGTATATAATTACTAGATATATATTTCATAAATATTCTGTTTGTGACTAATTAGTTATGGAAAGAATGAAAATTATGATAATTAATTAATTAGTTTATAAAATTTATTCCGTGTGAAGTTTAGTTGACTTAAATTTAATTAATTATACAAATTATATATTCATATCCGTATGTATATAATTACTCTATATAAAGTTCATAAATATTCCGTTTGTGACTAATTAGTTATGGAAAGAAAGAAAATTATGGTAATTAATTAATTAGTTTATAAAATTTATTCCGTGTGAAGTTTAGTTGACTAAAATTTAATTAATTATAGAAATTGTATATTCATATCCGTGTGTATATAATAATTACTCTATATATATATTTCATAATCATAAATATTCCGTGTGTGACTAATTAGTTGTGGAAAGAAAGAAAATTGTGGTAATTAATTAATTTATAAAATTTATTACCTATGAAGTTTAGTTGGCTAAAATTTATTTAATTACATATTCATGTCCATGTGTATATTTTTTTTTTTTGAAAGTTACTGGCTCTATGACATTGTAGTATCTGTTCATATACTTTCTCAAACTATTGAAATACAAAGAACCAATAACGCCTCCACTAAGGCTCGAACACATAATCTTCCAAATGGAAGTCCAACCCGGGTACCATTAGATCACATAATCCTGGTATGTCCGTGTGTATATAATTCCGGGTGTGACTAATTAATTATGGTAATTAATTAATTAATTTATAAAATTGGAGTCCATGTGATGTTTAGTTGACTATTATTATTATTATTATTATTGTTATTGTTATTATTGTTATTATTGTTATTAAATATGAAAACAGAATGTGAAGTGATATGAGGGTAAATTCCCTGAAATTAGTACTATTGTTTGGAAAATCACCGACGTCCACGAGATCCAAATTGACTCCAAGATATTGAAATGGAGAAATCTTGGAGAAGAAGAGATGGGAAAGTTGCGATATTGGCAAAGCAGCTTTGCAAAGGGTTTCTGAAATCGAGAAATCTTGGAGAAAAAGAGATGGGAAGGTTGCGATATTGGCAGAGCAGCTTCACAAAGGGTTTCTGAAATGGAGATATCTTGGAGAGGAAGAGATGGGAAGGTTTCGATATTGGCAGAGCAGCTTCACAAAGGGTTTCTGAAATGGAGAAATCTTGGAGAAGACAAGATGGGAAAGTTGCGATTTTGGCAGAGCAGCTTCGCAAAGAATCACTTCTCGTACCCACAGCTTCGCGAAGAAGAAGTGGAAAATGACTTCCCCAAAAAAAAAAAGGGGGGGGGGGGGGGGGGGGGGAGTCATTTTCCGTAAAAATCCATTCATTTTCCATTGACTTTAGTGTTTTCCTTCTTGCCAAACACTGGAAATCCGGAAAATGATTTCCAGAAATCATTTTCCGGGTTTCTAAACACACTCTTAATACCACGTATATGAGTAGCATACATAGATGTACACGGTAAATTAAGTAATCATACCTAATATGCATGGTAATCTATAATTAAAATTATTTAATACCATACCTAATATAGACGGTATTATCTAATTAAAATTGATTTTAATACCATGTATATGATTAGCATACATAGGTGCACACACTAATTTTTTTTTTTTTTCTTCAATTGACTGATTTATTTCTGGCAAACACAAGATAATACATACCCAAATATTACTATATACATAATAACATACTTTATTATTATTTTTAATACCATGCACACCATTAAATAATCATACCTAATATATAGGATAATACCTAATTAAAATTATTTAATACCATAGTAGTTAATATACACGGTATATGATTACCTAATTAATATTTATTATGGTTATAAAATCATATTATGGTTTTACGTCCATAACTACCAAAAGTTAGGAGGCGATAAGCTTGTGATGACACGGATCCCTCGCATGACCACCATGTGCCTAACTATAACTCTCCCATTAATTACATCATAATAATTATTATTATCATTATTTACTTTCCTCACAAAATTTTCATCTAATGAATTGAAAAAAATGGATAGATTTTCAATTCATTGAAATTAACTTTGATGGAAAACCAATTAATATTATTTTAATATATTAGTTTATTATAGTTGGGGAAAAATTATACAATTATACAATTAGTTATATAAAATAAGGTAAAAATTTTGTGATATAATAGTAATAAAAATTTTGTGATACAATTAGTAATAAATTATAAAATTAGTTATATAAAATAAGGTAAAAATTACGGATTATTTACTTGCTGAAAAATTTTGAGTGAATTATTTTATTATAAGCAGCAAAATATTAAAAAGCGGAAAATACATAGGTTGTATTGTGTAAATTAAAACTGACAAAACCGGAAACTACATGCATACATAAATTTAGATTTTTAAATTATTTAATTTTCGAAATTTTTGAATAAATTTGAATAGTACTATACATATGGTGCAATACTTGGTTACAAAATAAGCTTTATATAATTCGTATATAAATATAAATTATTAACACAGTTATATCAATTACAAATGATCAATTTGTTAAATTATACAAATTGTAAAATTGTTACAAATAATTGGCAAAAATGGCACCACATCCGTAAATGATTTGTAACAGTCCGTATGATTATATTTCGAATATATAAAGGAAAAGTGTGATTACATTATGAAAATATAACAGAATATTACAAATTAGTACTAAATTAGGTAAATACCATTACATAAAAACTATTATTGAGAAGTGAAAAATGCCATTACATAAAAACTACGAAATGAAGAATAGTACAAAATGAATAATGAAAAATGCCATGAATAATAGTTTCCAATTGCGTGTAATGTTAGCATAATAATAATAATAATAATAATAATAATAATAATAATAATAATAATAATAATAATAATATAACATCAAAATACAAACAATTGATTTGATTAAAAACAAAGTGCGAGTAAAAATAATAACAAATAACATAACAAAGGCATGAGTTTAATAGATTAAATTGTTGACACATTCCTCATTATTCATCTCTAAGTGGACTCCTCATTATTTGAATCCGCTTCTTTAGAATCCAAAATTCCAATTGGATCATATGATTTATCCTCTCCAGCTTGAGGGGAGTGTTGAAGGCAAATTATTGTGTGGACCATAACAAAAAGTACATTTTTAATATACTAAATGTATATTATTTATGTACTGAATGTACATTATATAATATAATGTACACTCAGTACACAAATAATGTACATCTCCTGAATACAATGTACATTTTTAATATACTAAAAATACATTATTTTTGTATTGAATATATATTATTTCATAATATACAAAATATGGTCTACACAACTTGTGTGGACCATAGTTCACGCAATAATAATGGAGTGTTGAAACCCTAGGCCTTTTTAAAAATAGGCCCATTAGGTTATAGTTTATTCCTAGTTAGGTATTCTTGGTCCTCTTATTCTACTACATATACATCATTCAACAACCCTGCTAGGAACGGACTACATATACACGCTTGTTGTTGGAAATGTTTGAAGGTTTAGTTTGGCAGTTGCTATTAGGTTACCTTGGCCAATACATTCGGGACATTCAAACGGAGCAGCTCAAGATTACTCTGTGGAATGGTAACTTGCTGATTATTTGAGAAAAGCACTCTTTTCCACTCCGGTTTACAAGTAATAGTAACAAAATTGACGAAGGGGAATTTTTTATTTTCTTTTCTTTAATGTGATTGCATTTGGGCATTTTCATTTCTTTGTGCTGGGGTTTGAGCTTCTAATGAAAGTTTAGGGGTAAATATTTTGATGGTTGGCAATACATAACAAAGGATAAAGCTAATACTTTTTTCTCTCTTTTAACTTTTTAATTCATGTTATATTTGTGGCATATCTGTATAATGATCATTTATAGCTACTTACAATAATCTGAATTTTAGATAAAATTTACATTAACAATCATCTTACTATCGCAGAAGAAGTATTATTGGAAAATGTTAAGCTGATTCTTGAAGCTTTTGATTACCTTCAGTTCCCATTTGCTTTAAAGCAAGGTAAATTCTCTGTACTTTTTCCATGTATTCTGCTAATTATTCTAGTACAAGCATTTTTAGAATGCTTTAAAAACACCATTTAGTTATTACTTGCCATAATTCCATTATAGTCTTATAGCTTGCAGCTATTGCTGTATCTGAGCTTAAATTATGCTTATGGAATTTTGTTCTCCAATTTGCTAAATTTACCTTAGCTTGCAACTGTTTGCTGTATGGTATTGTGGGAATTTAAAAGAACAACACTATGAAAGTTATAAGCTGCATTATTTTTTGGGAGAGGGTGGGTGGAAGCATAGATATTTTGATATGTGTGCTAAAGGTCGAAAGTCAAGTTTGTCAGCACTTGATACTTTGATGCCATTACAAGCCAACTAAAATAGTGTGACCTTTGGCTTTGTTATATTCATCTAAAACCCAAACCTGCTAAGTGAGTTATCACAGATAAATACTTGTGCAATATCCTCCAATTTAATAAAGAAATTATAAAGGGGATGAGGGGGTCTAAAACTTATTGTGAAGGCAGTTCCTTTGCCGTTTATGATCTAGGATTTATGGTTCATGATTATGAGTTCAGAGTACTAAAGCGTCTAACTTCATTTATGTTTATAGGTCATGTTGGCAAGTTGAGTATTAGGATTCCATGGAAAAAGCTTGGCTGGGATCTTGTTATAATCATCTTAGAGGATGTATTGATCTGTGCCTCCCAAGGAGATGAAAAAGAGGTATTAATTAATATAAACCACTATTTATGCTTGTTTTCCCTTTTAAACAGCTTTATTATAGTAGCTATTAATTAATAGCCCGATTTTTATACATGATCCTAATTAAATGCTACCTAAGAATGATACAGAACTATAGTTATTTAGTAGAAAAAAAAAGTTTCAATAAGTAAAGCGGAGTTCCCTAGTTAATGGTATGCATTCAACAGAAAGAAAGGAAAAGATACAATGCTGAAATGCAGTAGCGGAAGAAAAATAAGCTGAAATGACAGAACCAACTTCCAATAGGATTCAAATAATATATAATCTGACTTTTAACCAGAAAGGTCTAGTTTAAAGGAAGTGTTTGAAACATTAAATGCATGACAATAGGAAAGAAAATTAGATTTAAATGAAATGCAGATATAGCTCTAGCTGCCAAAACTGTAGGACTCTTAGACTTCCCGCTTACTACATCAGCCCTCAAGTTTGCTGGTTATGGTGTTTATGTTGCTGTGCGTTCTTTTATGGTTGTTTCCTTACATCAGCCCTCAAGTTTGCTAGTTCTTGGTATTTATGCTGCTGTGCGTTCTTTTATGGTTGTTTCCTTTATATGAATTTTAATTGATGAACACTGCTTTGATTTATTCATTTATTTTTTCCAGGCAGTGACTGTATTTGCTATGAAGTTTTCAAGCTTGACAATTATGAAGCAACATTTTCCTGGGTATTATTCTATTTTTTGACGCACTAATTAGCTAAGTGCTCTCTGTAGTGGATAAATATAAAATAATAAATGTTTAGGCACAGCACAACAATTGCTAAGGCACAGAGAAACCAAAACTCTTAACTAGATTGTTAGAGATTGGTACTGTTGGAATTGAGGGATTGATAGGTCTGGCGGGTGGAGAATAACCACCACCCGCCAGTTAGGCGGAAGCAAAATATGTGAGAACCAAAGAACAAGAGAAGATAGAGAATATATTATAATGAAAGATTACAATAGATTGGCTCTCTGTATATATGTTCTATACTTCAATGGACCTCTATATATACTAAACTAGATACTAAATTAGTCTAGGAAACTACTAATAAGAATAGGAAAGTAAGACAACTTTCATAATATTCAGCACTCCCCCTCAAGCTGGAACATCTGGAAGTTCCAAGCTTGGATTAAAACAAGCACTCTACCTCACTCAAAATTACAAATGAAAATTAAATGCAATTAGAGGATAACAATGCGAGATGGCTTCGGAGGGACAATGCAACCCTTGGGAATGAACACTTCAGGGGCAAAGCTTGTCACGAACATCCTTGGGAATGGGGGCACCAAGGGAAAACACGAACACCGTCATAGCAACATAAGCACTCTAGGATGGATGACTTCAAAAGAGATTGCGCTATGTCTGACCCTTCCTTGGGAATGAAGACGAAGGCACCAAGAACGGAGCTGAACACAATCCTTGGGAATAAAGACGGAGACACCAAGGACGAAGCTAAACACGATCTTGGGAATGAACACACCGAGGACGGAATTGAACATGAACCTCAGGAATGAAGATGAGCACACCAAGGATAGATTTAAATATGAACAACCTCCCTATAACACAAGAGAGCGGTAGAGGCAAAAAGGAAGCAAAGAATAGCAAAGGACGCAGTAGAGCCCATAGTAGATAAAATACCAAATGATAGTAAAGGATAGCACACCGATTGTAGATAGTCACACTCCCCCTTACTTGAAACATGGGAAATAATCTAAGGTCTTTATAGTAGTGCTGAAACTGAACATCCATGGGATAAGGCATACCGGAGATAAAGAAACAAACACGGTTATACCAAAACACAAACACCATGGGAAAAGTTCGGCAACAAACCCAAAGAAGCCTTCAAATTTCACCAACAAGTCGAAAGAAGGGAAAAATAACAATCTGAAAAATTTCACCGAAAAATCTTGCCAGAGGTAGCGCGTGAGGATGACGGTGGGGGAGGAAAGCGATTAAATTTTCCAGATAAGGTCGCAAGAGGGAGAGGAATCCATTGGTGTATGAGGTGAGATCACAAAATCACTGGAGAAGAGGAGATCTGACTGGAAAAACTAAAGCAGTCCGTCGGCGATGGTGGCGTGTGACAGCGCGTGCGGCGGCGGATGGTGACGAGATTCCAGGCGTAGGCTCGCGACGATGATCCGAGAGGTCCTGTGGTGAAAGATTTGGAGAACAACCACAAGATACGTCGGAACAGGAGAAAACAGTCACTGGTTCGCCGGAAAATAAGTGTTGCCGGAAATATTGGAAGAAAAATAGCCTAGGAATGTAGGCTCTGATACCATGTTGAAATTGAGGGATTGATAGGTCTGGCGGGTGGAGAATAACCACCACCCGCCAGTTAGGCGGAAACAAAATATGTGAGAACCAAAGAACAAGAGAAGTTAGAGAATATATTATAATGAAAGATTACAATAGATTGTCTCTCTGTATATATGTTCTATACTTCAATGGACCTCTATATATACTAAACTAGATACTAAATTAGTTTAGGAAACTACTAATAAGAATAGGAAAGTAAGACAACTTTCCTAATATTCAACAGGTACGCAGCGAAAATAAATAAAGATAAGTGTGTGTGAGATTGTGTCAAGTATATCCCGTGAGAAGCAAATAAAGAGCAGTAAGTAAAGAAAGCAGTAAAGTACACAAGACAATTATAGTGGTTCGGAGGTGGTGTAATCCCCATACTCCACTTGCTCTTATCTCCAAGAGCAATTCACTATATCCACCACTTCTTGGTTCCAAGATACAATGAATTCCGTGATCTAGTGCTTTGATCACCAAGCTCGCACTAATCACGCCCAGTGACACCACACTGCTGCTTCGGGTTTCACGTCGCCGTGCTACTTTCCCAGGATTTCACGACTCTGTGTTACTTCCCCCCCCCCCCCCCGCCCCCCCCCCCCCCCCCCCCCGTCTTCTACGCTCCGGTAGAAACACTCTTCCGTGATCTAGTGCTTTGATCACAAAGCCCGCACTAATCACACTCAGTGTCTCCGACACTGCTGCTTCGGATCTCACAGCTCCGTGTGACAATCCAGGATCTCACATCTCCGTGTGACAATCCAGGATTTCACAGCTCCGTGCTACTTTCCTCCCTTCCTACACTCCTGTAGGAATATCACTTGTTCAAAGACAAGTTTTCTTCTTGCTTCCAACTTCTGAGACTCTGTAGATGATCATCAATATGATGCAGGTCTCTTGGTGATGAAGATTAAACACTCTTGAATGATTTCTCGAGTGTTTTTCTCTCTTTGAAAAGTATCAAGTATAACACTTGATTTTTTATGCTCTGTTTAGCCCTGTTTTTAGAACTCTCTGGATATTTCTCTTTAAGCTCTCTAAGTTCTTTTTCTTTTCTCACTTGAAGATTTCTTTTCGTATGCTCAGTACCAATTTAAACTCTTGCTCTTTGAGTTCTTTGCTCTCTTATGCTCTATTTCGTATTTCTTGCTCTTTGTTCGTGAGTTCCCCACTTCCTCATCTTCAAGTCTTCATATCTTCATCCTTATATAGCTGGTAACGAGAATCTGCCCGTTGGAAAGAGACGATCTCATTTTTGAATTCTTATATCTTTTGTCAGATATCTTATCTTATCTTCTGGCAAAGTGTCAGAAAAGATAATCTAACCGTTTGTAGAGCTCATGCAAATGAGTTCAAAGATAATCTAGCCATTTGTAGAGCTCATGCAAATGAGTTCCCAAACTTCATCTGATATTCCTCTGGTGTTCTCACGTTTCTTGGAAATATCTGGGTCTCAGTTTTATGTAGAACGGCTTTGGTTCTTGGGATTTAAAGAAAGTATTTTTCTTTCTGAGAATTTCTTCACTGTAAGTTTTCTTCTTCTTCTTTCTCACGTCTGGGTGTGGGTTTTCTTTGAATTTCTCTTTTGTATTCTTGATCGAACTCCCTCCCTGTCATCGTATCTTGTGTAAGAATCGTTTTCAGGCTTCTTATCGCTTGCCCATCAGTGGCAGTTTTGTCTCCCGTCCCTACCGATAGTAACTGATCAACTTACTGTTGGAGTTCAAGAGCATATCTTTTTCCATTATTAGTAGATTTCTATCTCGAAGTGGACAAAGGCATCAATATGAACTCCAAGCTCTATCGCTTGGGAATAAATGCTCCCCTAGCTGCTTGCCGTTGAAACCCGATCATTCGAAACAGCACAGACAGACCGAGGGTCTGGTGCCTATGATGTCATCGTCAAAGAACACTCGAATGGGCAAAACAAAAAAAAGAAAGAAATCCTTCCATCCAGCTTTCAAGTCAAGGAAGATTCAAAAAGATTTCCTGGATCTATTTATGACATATGTACGACTGGTTCTTGGGACCCAAGACAAGACTTCTCCTGGTTTTGAATTTCATCTCAATTCAATTTGCTTCCCAATGGCTCCTAAAGCCAAACTAGAACCGAACTCCATGAGATTCGAACTTGAGCCATTTCGCATAATAAATCAGGCATCTTCCAACTCGTCCATACGGTCTATTGGTTACATCTCCAATCATCTTTGATGTACTCCTTTCTTTCCATAGATGCTTGATCTTCAAGTCAAATTCATGCAAACTTCAAATCTTAATTTTCTTCCTCGAAAATTCTTCTGGGAATTCTTTCTGAGTAGTAGCGACGTGAAACTCATATCATTCATCTTCTTCTTCAATTTGTCATTTTCACCAGACAAATTCTTGATTTTAGGCTTTATATCTTCTTCTTTTATTTTCATACATCTTCCTCTGTTTTTCTCTTTTGCAAATTAAATAATTTCCCGATCATGGTCTAAGACTCTACTAGACCTATACAAATAAAATTGAGGGTTCTACAAATACATATTTGACATATCAAAACCATTACACTTTATTCATAACATGACTCAACAACATAGATATTTCAACACGTAAACATCACATCAAACTTATCAAGGCAACTCATGCTTACAAATAATTTCGTACTAATAAACCATACGAAAGTTATCTTCATGCTTTCAAGTTCTCATCATGTAAACTGGATATACAATACTTCAAAATGCAACTAAACCATCATACTCATAAACGAACTCGGCTAGTCATTCTCATTATGCAATTCATGCAATAATATACTCACATACAATCTCGTGCAAGACTATACTTTAATGCAATCTCGTGCAATACTATACTCAAATGCAATCTCGTGCAATACTATAAATATACTCATACACTCGTTTGTAAAATAGAATACATTTCTGTGTAGGTTTCTTAGAGTCGCAATGACTCGCTTTCTTTCTCTTGAGTCTCTTGATTCGATTTCATTCTTGTTCAAACTTTATCATATTTCTCATTTCACTTCTTGTGCGAGGCAGGTACTCCGCCGCAGCGAAGCCCTAGCGTACGGTGCAATCTCGTGCATCCGCCACATCCGTAACTACGGAACCTCTAACTCATGGGGAGGTACGTCTTCACGAATCGTGAATGAACCTAACCGGCTCAGAAATCTTGCCAGCCACATACTCAACTCACCCACAGAACCACTCTCTTGGTTCTATCTCGCTTTCTTGCTTTCTCTGTGGAATCAGGTATCGTACCTTTAGTGTGCACACCAGGATTCCAAGTCTGGCGGGAAGCCTCCAACCTCGTAACATGGGAATACACCGCGTTATATGATAAATCTCTAGGACCGCAATGTCCATAACAAATCATCCGAGAAGACATAGTCCAAACGGGTCCTCCAAAACAAGGTTTCCTCACCATAGATATATATAGATATATCGCTCATGCATTTCATAATTGTAATACTTAGCTTATGCAAAATACATGCACATACTTCTCAATTTATTCTCAAAGATAAGATAAAGATGCTCTACGTGGAATGAGATTTTCGTTGGAAAATAATACTTAGGCTCACGTTGGCCACTTATTCATTTTTGAAACATGAAATACATGGAATGCCAAATACTAAACAACATGCTTCCAATTCATATAAATAGGTCATAAAGGTCTCAAGAATACAATATCATGCTCGGTTTGCAACATGTCAAATTCTATATATTTCTAACATCAAATTATACCCCAAATCCCATTGATCAAGCAACACATTCTAATCATGCTCTTCTAAAAAATATTACTCCCTAAGTGATCATGCTTCTCTACTCAACACATAAATAATCATCAGGGCAACAAAGCAAGGCATTTTCTCATTACAGTGAACTCAAACAAACATACTACGAAGCAAAATCATCACTAAAACCTTCATAACATGCTCATTTCTAATCCAAATTCAACGAAATCAAAGTCTAAACGTGCATCAAGACGGCCCAAGGAGATCTGTGCCTCCCAAGGAGATGAAAAAGAGGTATTAATTAATATAAACCACTATTTATGCTTGTTTTCCTTTTAAACAGCTTTATTATAGTAGCTATTAATTAATAGCCCGATTTTTATACATGATCCTAATTAAATGCTACCTAAGAATGATACAGAACTATAGTTATTTAGTAGAAAAAAAAAGTTTCAATAAGTAAAGCGGAGTTCCCTAGTTAATGGTATGCATTCAACAGAAAGAAAGGAAAAGATACAATGCTGAAATGCAGTAGCGGAAGAAAAATAAGCTGAAATGACAGAACCAACTTCCAATAGGATTCAAATAATATATAATCTGACTTTTAACCAGAAAGGTCTAGTTTAAAGGAAGTGTTTGAAACATTAAATGCATGACAATAGGAAAGAAAATTAGATTTAAATGAAATGCAGATATTGAGATTTGAGAATAATTTAAAGCTCTAGCTGCCAAAACTGTAGGACTCTTAGACTTCCCGCTTACTACATCAGCCCTCAAGTTTGCTGGTTATGGTGTTTATGTTGCTGTGCGTTCTTTTATGGTTGTTTCCTTACATCAGCCCTCAAGTTTGCTAGTTCTTGGTATTTATGCTGCTGTGCGTTCTTTTATGGTTGTTTCCTTTATATGAATTTTAATTGATGAACACTGCTTTGATTTATTCATTTATTTTTTCCAGGCAGTGACTGTATTTGCTATGAAGTTTTCAAGCTTGACAATTATGAAGCAACATTTTCCTGGGTATTATTCTATTTTTTGACGCACTAATTAGCTAAGTGCTCTCTGTAGTGGATAAATATAAAGTAATAAATGTTTACTTAATGGTTTAAACTTTTAATTTAGGTGGAAATCCTACGTGCTACCCATCGATTCATGTGTTTTGCCCATAAAAAAAATCACATTCATATTAAGCTTTTAGTAGAGGTGGAACACATACTTATACTTTCTTCCTTCAGGAATAGTAGGAGGAAGTTGAAAACCATTATCATATCTGTCATAAACCTAATGTTTCAACCTTAGGAGGTTGCTTATGAGATGAGAGAAAAATAGATGAAATCTTTTTAGTATAATGCATTAGATTTTCTTCATACGTCTTACAAATTGATGAGCATGGATGCTTTATTTGTGGTAATTACTTGCAGTAATACTTTTTTTCCCTTTTCATGGGAATCATTCGCAGTTTGCGCAATCCTTCCAGTTTTTATGAGTGACTAGTGAAAGATGTTTTTTAGTGGTAGAGTTGTGTTAGAGGTTATTTTCACACTGGATATCGTCCACAAGGAGTGACGGAAGGGAGTTGACTTAAGAGGAGCTAATCACAAGTTATAACCGAGTATATAAGAGTTAGGTCAACAATCATGTAGGTTGAGATCTTAGGTTTAATCGAAATATGCACTAGACTCCTAAGCAAACACAGGTGAAGGAATACAAATATTTAACAAACAAGAATAGAAAGGAGGGACTCAGACTTCGCTATAAAGTCTTTGATGTAAAGAGGAGTTACTAGTGAATGTGCTACAATCTCGATACAACAATAGTGCCAATGATATTCTCATGACCATTGGACTAGCCAACTAGCCTTAGACTCCACTCTCATGGTTGCGTAATACTAGTTGGGCAATCTATCAAACACTTAGCATACAAGGCTTCTCTGTCCCTTCCTTTGTCAAGGTAAGTTCAAGATTGTGAGTAGGGATGGCAACCTTAACCCGAAACTAGTGGAGTAGTGGGCTAATTTGACAAAATCGAAAACTTTAAGGGTTAGGGTTGAAAATTTTAGCCCGATAAGCCCAATGGCCTGAATGGGCTAGTTTGAGTTTTCGTGGCTGACCGAATAGTTTGAGCTAGTCAAGGTTACTCATTGTTTCACAAGTGATGTAAAACAAAATATACATGAAAGTTTGTACATAAGCACATATTTAGTATTTTTAATTAAATTTAAGCAAATCTTTAGTATTTTACTATTTTTTAATTAAATATTAATACATATGTTATTAAATTTATTACATAACAAATTATTTTGTATTGCTATATATTATCTAATAGCAGGAAATCTTTTTGCCAACCTTTTTCATCCCTCCAATTGCCTTCCTAAGTTGCTTCTTAGTTCCTACTTTGTTTGACAGTTGATTTTACATTCCTAAAATTGTTATCTTCATATTATCTGCCAAAATGCTAGTTGGTATCTACTTGTTACCAAAATCATTTGATGAATGTGTAAAAACGAATCTGTTGCCTCTCTACATTTTTATTCTTCATAAAAACTCTTGTTCATCATTATCAGGTAAGTGTTGAAGATGTGATGCAAATGCTAGACGAAATAGAGAAAGAATCTGACATTGATGAGACCTTATGTTATGGATTGCTACAGGTAACTATGATGCATAGAATAGACTTGCGTAGCATACACTGTCAATTTAGTGGTGCATGTAAGTTTTATTTTTTTCTTGGAAGTTTAGCTTAAGAATACAAGAAGAATTGAAGAATTAAATCTATCATTTTTAAGAAATAAGAATCACATAATAAACACGTGCAATCTTGTTCTTTATATTGGTCTAAAAGATTTTTTTTTTGTCATTTTAAATTCTTAATTTCTGTTAAGAAAAAGTTTTCTCACACTGTTTGCAGGACGTTTTACTTGCTTCCTCGTCTAACAGTGTGAATACTGCTAAACCTCTCGAAGATGGACGACCATTCAGCATGCCCCGTTGATGGTTGAATTGGTTATCTCATGGGATGTTTGGGGTTGGCGGTACAGATGGTTCTAGCCAATTTTCAGGAATTATTTCAGATGACTCAATCAACGTAAGCACATTCCAAATGGTACATGTTTAATATGATTACTATTTTGTTTTGTCATCAACCAAGAATTTTGGCATCTGTTAGTGCAGGATATCTATGAAGCAACTACGTTCTAGCCTGTACAATCTCTAAATGTGGATGCTACAGAAAGTGCCAAAGTCTCTATTTCATCAATCAATTTCAGCATTATTCAACTTCCAGTTGCTTTGCAAAGCATGTATGATTTTCTTCAACTTTTTGTCAATCTTGTTATTATCTGAACATGCAATTTAGAAGCTAAATTGCTAGACTTGTTTAACCAGCTTTTCTCTATTTGTCATTTGAATGGCCCTTCAAGCATAAGAACTTTAATACGGAGAACTTTAATACAGTCTACACAACGACTATATGAGCCTTTTGCTGCCAGTATTCCTCCTCAATATCTGCCACTACAACAAAGCCACACTTTCTTTATAATAAAGCAATGCCTTATCATCATCCAGGTGTTGCTGCAGCACGTCCTCCAATGCTTGCACCCAATCCTCAAGTTCTTGCAACTTAGAAAAGATATCACTGTGGAAGCGAAGCCAAAATTATTATTTATATCCGAAAAATTGGAAGTCCCAAAGGTCAGCAATGAAGACGCTTTAGTGTTATTACTCACGCACAACGACTTCTTATTTAAGATAGCAATTTGACTTTCAAGGAGTTAGGACTCCTAGAAATGATAAATTGTATCCACCCTCCTGGGCACTGCAAGACCAACATAGTCCGATTTTGTTATGTCGTCTTCATCAATATTCAACAATGTTGTCAGGTCATCAGCCCCACCAACCTCCTTCTGTATCATGCCGCTAACTTCAGATGGAGCTTTCTCAGTGGTAACACTTTTGCTTAGATTCTCTATAGCTGGGTTTGTTGAGATCAGCACTTTGTGAAGCTCACTTTCCGATGCTAAAACATGATCCACTTCTTGCTCCCCTGCTTTGTTTTTTCAAATTCAACCTCTACTTCTTCCAACAAAATTTTGCTAATGGAAAAACGATGCCAGTGGTGAAACTGCTACCGTTTTCACCCCTCCTACTTGAACTTGAACTAATTCTCTTTCTATTTACTGCTCCTATTGCTTTGGGGGCATGGAGGAGTTTGAGCTCAAATTCACTCACTGATTTCTTTCTCTTCACCCTACTCGAAGAGGAATCATCTTTCATTAATGCTACTGAGGAGGATGAACGCTTTAAGCACACTTTTGAACCAGATGAATTTCCTTTACGAACCCCGCCTGAGGAAGCAGCAGCTTTACCAACATTATTCGAAACACCGCTTTTTGCTTTATATCTGGGGTAAGATTTACATCGGGTTGCCTTTTTGTGGCAGGCATCACTAAAATTCATTCGAAATGTACTCACTACGGACTTCATATCCTTTTCGCATAGAAGGGAAAAATAACTTCTTTCAACTCGGGCTCACTAAAGCATCTCTTTCCTTTACTTTCATATTCCTTGTATCTAACAAGAGTATGATTAGCAAAAGCATCTGCCTTTCCTTCTACTACTTTACTAGCAGCTTTTCTTGAGGAATTACCACCTCTGTTAGCCATCATCTTTTTGTATGCTGTGATGAGAAATAGGTTCATTGCTACCTATTCAACGTTCTTTTTCTCCTCTTGACTTTCACGCTGAATGGCTTCATCAATTTGGCTCAAGATTTTTGTCTTCTTTATACCCTGTTTCTTCAGCTCAACTTTACGTTCAATAATTTCTTGATCAATAGATTTTTCCTCCAAGGGTGGGGAAGGCATAGAGTCTAAAGGCATGTCAATGCTCTGTATCTCCATTCGTATGTTATCATCAAGCAAAAGTGTTTGATATAGGGAACTACAATATGATATATCAGATGTGTGCCAAGCTTGGAAGAAATTTTTGAACTAGAATCCTTTTTGTAAATCATAGAAAAATCTCCTCTAGCTGGAAATGGCTAGCAACCATTTGATGAGCTTTCATTACAATGGGATGAACTTGATTCACATTACTTTGAGTATGAGTTGCAATATTCCTATTATAGGAAACTTCATCCAGCAAGCAATTATCAGGAAATTGCAAGTCCACTTCCAACTCAACTTCAGTTAATACTTCGTTGCAACTATTTGAATCATTCGCCATAACATCAAGTGAACCATGGTCAGGCGAATGATCCAAATAATTGCAACGGATTCTTAACTAAAGTTGAGTTGGGAGTGGATTTGTGAGCTCCTGATAATTGCTTTACTGGATGAAGTTTCCTGTAATAGGAATATTGCATCTCATACTCAAAGTAATCAACGTGAATCAAGTTCATCCCATTGCAATGAAAGTTCATCAAATGGTTGCTTGCCATTTCCAACTAGCGGAGATTTTCTTTGCAATGAAAGTTCATCAAATGGTTGCTAGCCATTTCCAACTAACGGAGATTTTCTTGTGATTTCCAGAGAGGATTCTGGTTCAAAATTTTCTTTAAAGCTTGGCACATCTGATATATCATCCTGCAATTCCCGATATCAAACGTTTCCGCTTGATGATCGAATACGAATGGAGCTATAGAGCAATGACATACCTCTAGACTCCATGCATTCCCCACCCTTGGAGGAAAAATCTATTGATCAAGAAATTATGGAACTTAAAGTTGAGCTGGAGAAACATGGTATAATGAAGACAAAAATCTTGAGTCAAATTGATGAAACCATTCAGCGTGAAAGTCAAGAGAAGAAAAAGAACGATGAGCAGGAAGAAATGAACCTACTTCTCATCACAGCATACAAAAAAGATGATGGCTAACAGAGGTGGTAATTCCTCAAGAAAAACTGCTAGTAAAGTAGTGGAAGGAAAGGCAATGACTTTTGCCAATCGTAGTCTTGTTAGATACAAGGAATATGAAAGTACAGGAAAGAATTGTTTTAGTAAACCCGAGTTGAAAGATTGTTTTTCTCCCCTTCATGTGAAAATGAAATGAAGTCTATAGTGAGTACACTTCGAATGAATTTCAGTGGTGGTTGCCACAATAAAGGTAAGCCGGCGTAAATCTTACCCCATATATAAAGCAAAAAGTGTTGCTTTCAATGATACTGGTAAAACTGCTACTTCATCAAGCGGGGTTCAGACATGATATTCATGTTGTTCAAAAGTGCACATAAAGCATTCATCCTCCCTAATAGCATCAATGAAAGATGATTCCTCTTCGGGTAGGGTGAAGAGAAAGAAATCAGTGAGTGAGCTCGAGTTCCTCTATGCCCCAAAAGCAATAGCAGCAGTAAATGGAAAGAGAAATAGTTCAAGTGCAAGGAGGAGGGGTGAAAACGGAAGCAGGTTCACCATTGGCATCGTTTTTCCATCAACAGAATGTTGTTGGATGAAGTAGAGGTTGAATTTGAAAAACAAAGCATATGAGCAAGAAGTGAATCATGTTTTAGCATCGGAAAGTGAGCTTCACGAAGTGCCGATCTTTGTGGACCCATCTATTGAGAATCTGAGCAAAAGTATTGCCATTGAGAAACTCCACCTGAAGTTAGCGACATGATCTAGAAGGAGGTTGGTGGGGATAATGACCCGGCACCATTGTTTAATATTGATGATAGCAACATGATGGAATCAGACTATGTTGGTCTTGCGGTGCCCATGGATGATCTTTGGGACATCGAGTTTTTCGGATATAAATAATAATTCTGGCTTCGCTTTCAGGGTGATATCCTTTTTTTTTTTTTTTGTTGCAGGAACTTGAGGATAGGGTGCATGCATTGGAGGAGGTGCTGTAGACTTGGATGATGATACGGCGCTGCATGATTATAAAGAAACTGTGGCTTTGTTGCAACAATAGATATCAATTATGGTGGAAAACTGACAGCAACAAGCTCATATGGTCGCTTTGTAGACCATATTAAAGTTCTTGTGCTTGAAGGGTGAATAATGAAAAACCCTAATGACTGTGTAAATATTTTAGTTAAGGGCCAAATTTCTTTTAATGGTAAATATCCAATGAGATTGTGTTGTTGAACTACATATTTTGATACTCGTTATGAGATTTCTCTTGCTCTTATTTGGGTATAACTTCCTAATTTGAAGGGTAACTATTTTCTATACCATGTTTAAAGCAAATTGTTAAGATAATTAGCCGGTTTTTACATGTGGATGCTACCACTGCTAAATTTCTAGGCCTAATGTGGCTAAGGTTAAGGTAGATGTTGACCTCTTTTAGCCATTGTGTGGATATTTTGGTTAAGGGCCAAATTTCTTTAAATGGTAAATATCCCATGAGATTGTTTTGTTGGATGGCATATTTGATACTCATTATGAGATTTCTCTTGCTCCTATTTGGGTTTAACTTCCTAATTTGAAGGCTAACTTTTTTTCTATACAATGTTTAAAGCAAATTGTTAAGCCAATTAGCCAGTTTTTTTACATGTGGATGCTGCCACTGCTAAATTTTCTAGGCCTAATGTGGCTAAGGTTAAGGTAGATGTTGACCTCTTTCAGCCACATAGGACCAAGATGTTTATTATGATGGGCAGCAAAAACCAGGTAAGGGGGATGAGAGCTTTTGACAAGATATTGAGTATAAGAAGATCTCCCCTTATTGTCTAACCTAAAAGAAACAAGGGCATTTAGCCCCAACATGTCATTTTGGTATGAGGCGTTCAGACCCTAGTGTTAGTCATGAGCAACTATTTCCTCCTACTCCTCGAGGTCCACCGCTATCGGATGGTAGGAGTGATAGTGGTGGAGGTCCGTCGAACCCTCCTCCTGCCCCTCGTGCTCCACCACCTTCTAGTGCTGGCAATGCAGGGTTAGGGGGCATTGTTGGTCAACCTCCAACTGCTTAGACCCAGCCAGGGGGCTCAAGCTTGACTCGAAATCAAAAGAGGAATTCAACCAAGAGACGGAGGCAAGATAAGGGTAAGG